AGAGCCCAAGCAGGCTGCTGAGCAAACGTCACACGGTAGCCCTGCATCGCAGGTGACTATTGCAGAGGTACACGCGGAGGAACCGGAGCCCGCACCACAAACCGAGACCGAGACTGAGCCCGAGCCCGAGCCCGAGAGCAAGGCCGAGAAGAACGCTGAAGCTGCGGGGGAAGCCGCGGAGGAAGGTGCAGAGGAGGAGCAGCCGAAGGAGGCCGAAGCAGAGGCAAAGCATGGCGCGGAAGAAGCTTCAACGGAGGAACCCTCGACAGAGGAACCGACAGCAGCTGACGAGTCATCTACTGAGACCACGAAGGCTGAGCCGACGCAGAAGGAGTAAAGTACGGCAGCGCGCTTGTTTCCGATTTCATGTGATGCCTTGTGTCTATACCACGGTTTGTAATTTGTGTCATTTTGGATCCGAGGGAGGTGGGAAAGCGATGTAATATACGAATTCGAGCAAGAATTAATGATACCCTAATGGTGTTGTATTTGCTGAGTCCGGCGAGTAGAGTCGAAGTATAGGTAAAGGTGGTGTAAACTCCGGCTAAGTCCGGCGACGGAGCTGTTTTTTTTTTAGCTAGTCAGAGCTATGACGATCGGTCTCCACTGGGTTGTTCCTACGTTAACCCTGCGCCGTGATTCTTCAATCAACATCAACATCTACTAGCTCTACATACCTACCACCCTCTCTCCCTACCAGACTTTCTCAAATCAAACAGACTATAAACCCAATGCCAATCGATCCCCCACCTAACCCATCCCTCACCTCCACCACTACCACCGCACCACAACCAGAACCACAACCACAACCAACAATGCCCCCGCCAATCCCAGCGTCAGCAACAGCAACAGCAGCAGCAGCAATAGCAACCAAAATGTCCACCGCGATCCTCAAAGCGAGCCCCATCCACTTCGGCCCCTTCCCCGTCACCACTCAGGTCTTCCACCTGACGCGCTACTCCTACGCCCTCGTCAACCTCAAGCCCATCCTCCCGGGCCACGTCCTCATCTCGCCGCGCCGCGTCGTGCCCCGCGTCGCCGACCTCACGCCCACCGAGACCTCCGATCTGTTCCTGACCGTCCGCCGCGTCGCCCGCATGGTCGAGCGCGTCTACGGCGCCTCGAGCCTCAACATCGCCATCCAGGATGGCGTGGACGCCGGCCAGAGCGTGCCCCATGTGCATGCGCATGTGATCCCGAGGCGAGCCCGGGATCTGGAGGCCAGGGGCGGCGTGGATGCTGTTTATGAGTTGTTGGAGGGGGAGGAGGGGGATTTGAATCGGATTCTGGAGGGGAGAGTGGAGAAAGGGGAGGAGGGGGAGGGGGAGAATGGTGAAAGGAGGAGGAAGTTTCCTAAGGTGGATGATGAGGATAGACATCCTAGGAGTTTGGAGGAGATGGAAGCTGAGGCGAGGTTTTTGATGGGGGAGATGGCGAAGGAGAAGGAGGAGTGATTTTCCCCCTCTGCGAGGGGAGGGGGGTTGTATATACAATATCCTGTGTTATAGAGAGTGCAGTATGTACACTGCTGTAGTAGAGGCTATGATCGATTCTTCATTCATGCTAGTCTATAAACTTCAACGGTAACGAATCTCTATCCGGATTTCATGGTTCATGGTTCATGCTTTCCCATCGTGATCGCGGTTCCTAACGCCCCCCTGCCAAAACAACAACGCCGGAGAATATGTCATTGCACCATCATTTTCGCTTCACGCCGCCGACGACCCGTTGGCAGTAGTGGCAGCGGCAGCGGCAGCCTTCTTCCCCGCCCAGAACGCCTCCCGCTCCTGCATCACCGTCGCCGCCCACTCCTTCACCTCGGGCAGCTGGATCCGGCCCGCCACATGGCAGAACTCGGTCAGGTCCACGCCGCTGGCGCGCTCGTACTCGACCATCTGCAGCAGCAGCTCCATCTTGTCGACGTCGTGCACGAACTGCGCCTCCAGCGTCTCGTTGGCCTCGTACTCGTGGAACACGGCCAGGATCTCCTGCCCCGTGGCGGGGCCGGTGCCCGGCACCCCGGCCAGCAGCGTGCCGGCGATGTAGTCCATCACGTCCGCCTCGCGCCGCGCCTTCTCCGTCTTGTCCACCTTGTCCACCGGCGTGATGTCCCCCACCAGCGACTCGGCCATGTCGTGGATCAGCGCCATCTTCATGCAGTGCGCCAGGTTCAGCCGCGGCACCAGCGTCGCGGGCGCCAGCATCGTCATGATCGACATCCGGTACATGTGGTCCGAGATCGATTCGCCGGAGTTAATGCCGAACCGGCGCCAGCCCTCGCGCTTGGTCGTCTTCAGGCGCTCCAGGAGGTGGAAGAACGGGATCGGCGTGCGGGCGTTTTCTTCGGGCGGGTGGGGGAGGGTTGCGAGGACTGTTTGCGGTTCACTTAGTTTGGGTTCGTTTTGTTTTGAGCGTGGTGGTGGTGGTGGTGATGTTGTTGTTTTTTTTATGCCTGAAACTTACCGGACTGGGTGGTCCAGAGGGCGTTGGTGGGGGTTTCGGAACCCATTTTGAGAGCGGGGATGAGTGGTTTGCTTGGAGAGGGAGGTTGTGGGTAGGTGAATGTTCTAGGGCTATATGATTAGACCCAGTAGGAAGGAGTATGAAGAGGAGGAAGTGGGGAAGAAGAGAAGAAGGATTGGAAATCGCAAGATCGAGAAAGGAAGAGAAACGCAAACGCGGGGAGAAAAGGCGGTGTTTACCTGATTAGGTTTGGCTTCGGATAGTCCACCGATCGGGGAGGAGGAGACATTAATGAGCTGAGCTGAGCTTGGTTGCGCAGCCTTCATCCCAGCATCAATATGCTTCCAGTTCAATGCCTACGGAGCCCTCCCCGTCGTGGCAGCAGCAATTGGAGCTCATCCTGATCAGCTGGACAGGTCTCATCGTGGGGTCACTGCCAAGACCTACCCATTTGCTCGTTTGGGCTCTTTGTTGACTTTAGTTGACGCCTCATATTCCCCGGTTGGCTTCGGCTCTGACAACCTGCTCTCGCGCCTCGCCTATCTTCCTCCTCCGTCACTCAAGTGACTTTCTTCCCCCTCTACACTGTACCCTGGTACGTTGTCTGTCTTCTGACTCTCTCAATGTCAGCGATTAACATCCCCAGATGTAATTCATCATGCAAGCCCGAACGCCCCGTCCCAAAACCCCGAACTGGTCCCCCCCGCCGCCCCTCGTCGTGTTTGTCCGCAACCTCCGGCTGCTCCAGCTGAATACGCACCGTGACTGGCCCAACATCACCCTCCGATCGCTGGCCGATACCTCGCAGAACCAGCGCCAGCGCCTCAAGCTCGTCGAATGGGCGCTCTACCAGCTGGTCACCATCTGGGATCCCGACACCACGCGCGATGTACGTCGTCGCTCTCCTGTGACATAACAAACATCCCCGACTGATCAATGGCCTAGAAACTCCGCCCCTTCTTCCCTCCGCTCGAGCCGCTGCAGTCCGTGAATCTGCGCGCCGCCTTGTTCCGCGTGCTCTCCGAGTTAAAGAAGCAAGGTGACCTGGGCAGGGAAATAATCCTTCGGAAGTCAATGCTGGATGATTGTAGAGGCGAGAAGTTCGACGAGCTCCTTGCCTCATTCTCCACGGCTGTCTTACGGAGAACGCTGGCTGCTTCATCGGATTCCAGGCTTCAGAATGTGGCTGCCAACCTGTCAATGGCTCAGGGCCTCACCCTCCAGGAGTATCAGCTGATGCTGCCTTTGATTATTGCACACCGGGCCTCCCTGAACCATATCGGCAGCGACTACGATCGAGCGAGAGATGCACAGGCGAAGTTCTCTCAGCTGCTGGACCTTAAAAAACGCCAGCTGGATGAGCGTTCGACGGAGCAGCTGCCACCGATATCTGGTGATGACGTCGACTTCGATGCGTTGGCTGGCGAACTCAGAGCCAATTGGCATGGCCGCGAGCAATGGGTTGATACACTGCTTCATTCGGGCGCACAGAGCACCAGTGATAGCTTCCTGGATCTCCCCTTCGAGTCCGCCTGGGCAAAAGCAAAGGAGTCGAGCGTCAACGACCTGACCGCGAACACTAGGCCAGATCTGCTGGTCGACCTGGAGTCACGAGTCGTTCGTCAGCGCGCCCGCGTGCAGCGCTGGCGTCAATACAGCGCTGATATGCAGAAGCATAATCGTGTAGACTCGACGAGCTCTCAGAAGACACAGCCCTCGATGGTGTTTCGTGATCATCAAGCATTGACCGTGGCCAGTATTTCCAGGGCCATCCGAGAGCCGGTGGAACGGGCCTCCTTGAAGGCCGAAGACCGAGCCCTTCTGTTCTCCATGACAGAAGCCATCGCACGCATCAATGGTCGGCCTTCCACACATCGTCGGCATGTCAGCGAATCGAGACAATTGCGCGAAATGCCTGTCATTGTTCCCTCCGCACCGGCCGAGGAAAGCACACCTGCTGAAGAGAGCAGCACACCGTCGCCTGTCGCCCAACAGCAACCTGCGCAACCTGACACGACCAAAAAAGAGAATATCCCACCACCACAGATAGAGGACCATCATGGCTCCGCGTTAGATGAGAAAGATCCCGAATCCGACACGAACACAAGCAATAGATTCACCCTTGTTGAGAGAACCCGCAAATCGATGTCTCTAGTCCCCCCACCTACACACACCAAGCCTCGGGAACGATTCCGATCACATCGACCTCGACCCTCGTACCCTGTCAACCAATTCGAGACGCCTCGCAAACAACAACCATCCCCCAGCCGGGCCTCCACCCCGCGCGATGAACTGTTCAACGAGGAAGCGGACTACGCCAGTGTGTTCAAGTCCCGGCCGCGCGTCGCGCATAGTCCTATCGCGTCGCCGGCGGTGCATATCAGTCCGATCGGGGACTTCGACTTGGACGGCTCGGGTGGTGCCGACATAGATGTGGATGAGTTCGAGAGAGAGTACCTTGATCAGACGCCGTTGGCCTCCAGACGAAGATTTTGATGACGATGCGTGATAGACCGTATATGAGCCATGCTTACATTGATAGTTATACCCATGACATAAATAGTAGAAACCAGACCCATACATCATAATATAATACATGTTTCGTATTTCACTTCCCGCCAGTGTACACCATACACCACCTGTCTATTCTACATGATCCGATTAGGGTTCCAATCCACCAACGCCACTGATCAAAAAATACACCGAAAGAGCCTTGGCTGTAAGCAAGCAAGCAGGCAGGCCATCATTTCCCTCTCGCTCTACCTCTGCCTCTACCCCTGCCTCTACCCCCACCACGCGTGCGTCTGCGTGTCGGCGGCGGTTTATACTCGGCAACAAATTCGTCATCGTCGTCTTCCGAGTCGGGAATCTCGTCCGGAGGAGGGGACAGTTCCTCGTCGGAGCTGGAAGAGCTGAGCGAGATGGCGTCTGCTTGAGACTTACCGGAGCCAGCGCCGGCGCCGGTCCCGGTCATCTCCTCGTCGCTATCGCTGGGAGCAGTCGCGGGTGTATCGTCGTCGTCACCATCATCATCAGTATCAGCAGCAACAGCTAGAGGCGGGGTAGCCCGTTTGCGACGTTGATGGACGATGATCAGCTTTTCGTTGTCGTTGTCGTCGTCGTCTTCGTCGTTGGCTTCGCCTTCTTGGTCGGGAAGGAGGAAGCCTCCGCCTCGGTCTGACGAGTCGCCTTCGCCCTCGCCAGGGAGAAGGAAGCCTCCGCCGCGATCTGCCTCGTCCTCACCAGGGAGAAGGAAGCCTCCGCCGCGATCTGCCTCGTCGTGCTCGCCAGGGAGTAAGAACCCGCCACCATCACCAGCTTCAAACCCCGGTGTCGTCCCCCCGACACTCCCAAGACCCCCCTCATCCGCCCCCCCCGCAGCAGCCCCCACCACCTGCCTCGTGAACGGATTCCTCTCCTCCCTCTCCAGATCGCCCTCCTCGCCCTCATCCCCACCCCCATACTCCTCCCGCACGCGCTGGGCAATCCGCAACCCAAACAAAAACTTGCGCCAGGTCTGCAAGATCCTCGCCTCCGCCTTGCGGGCCTCCTTCTTCCGTTTCTCCGCCTCCTCCACGCGCCACGCATCCTTAACGAGCTCCTCATTCTCCACCGCGACCACCACCCCCTGAATCACGGGGACCGCCATTTTGGACCCGAACTCGAACCCCGTAACGGCCTCCGCATAATCGATGCCCAACTTCTTGCAGATGCGCACCGTCCCCGGCCAGGGGACGTGACACGCGCCCCGGGGCACCATGCTCGGGACGAAGCAGTCGATATTCCCGTAGTCGTTCTTGGGGATGACGCCGTCGACGATGGGCGGTGGGATGATATACTCCGTCTGGTACTTGGCGTACAGGCCCTGCTTGGGCTTCTGGCCGGTCTCGCGCTCGTACTCGTCCACCTCGCGCTTGCGGAGCAGGGTGACGGCGCGGATGGGCACGTGTTTCAGGGGGGTTTGGCCCGGTAGGATCTGCCGGCCTTCCTTGTGCCAGCTCTCCGCGGATTGGCATTTCACGACGTCGGCGCGGCGGTAGACGAGTTCCGTTTTGGCTTTGGGGCCTTTGCCCGACGTGAAGGTGCGGATGTGTTGGGCGCCCGGTTGGAGGGCTTCTTCGCGGCGGAGGAAGCGCTCTAACACGAATTCGGGGGAGGTGCGGAGGCTTTGGAGGGTGTCGGCGGGTTTGTCACTAGTGGTGGGGTTTTTGCGTTCGGGTTGGTTGGGGAGGAGCGTGGTGCTGTTTTCTAGGGTGTCGAGGGCTGTCTCGTGCTTCGGGGAGCGCTCGTAGACGCGCAGGACGACGCGCGACCAGTCGTAGGTGATTACGGTTGGGGTTGCGGTGCGGCTGCGTTTGTTTTTGTTTTGCGGCTGAATGGTGATCTTCTCAACGGGGATGCGGAAGCCTTTGGTTTTGCCGGGCCAGGTCCGTCGTCGGAGGTACCGCGTCGTCACGTCTTTGGCCGTCTTGTCGGAGGAATACGCGATCACGTAGCTGATCACTTGCTTGGCCTTCTCGGCTTTGGCGCCCCGCGGTTCGAAGGCCGCTTGTAGCTCTGGGGTGGTGGCCACGGCGTTGGGGAGGACGAGCGCGTCGACCGGGATGATCTCGTGCGTGATCGGCGAGGCCGCTTCGGTCCAGTAGATCGGGAATGGGAGGTCTTTGTCGTATCCCTTGGGGTTTTTGCTGTTGCGGTTGCTGTTGCTGCTGCGCGATGGCGGTTTGGTCTCGGCGTCGCTGCTGCTGTCGGATTCGAGGCCGACGACCTCGTCCGTCTCGGCCGCTGCAGTCGACGCGTCGGTCGTCGGCTCGGTGTCGGCGGGCTTGGTCGGTTGCTGCTTGGGGGTGTAGGTCTCGGCTTTGGTCCAACCAAACCCCAGCGGTTGCAAGCTGGCCACCAGTCGGGCTTCGATGCCGAGGGCGCGGAGCAGCGCCGTGAAGAGCTGCGCGCCCAGATCGCGCGAGCCCTGCATACGCTCGGCCGCCTGGCGAAACTCGTCGAGGTCCGCGATCCGCTCCCCGTGGACGGCGGGATCGTGCTCGTCTTTCCGGAGGGAGGCGATCTGCGCTTCCAGCTGCGCCATCGGTCGGTACCCCTGCTTGCGGAGGCCCGGCGCCGTGATCGTGAACTGCTTCTTCCAGTAGGCGGCCAGCACCTTGAGCAGTGGGATGATCGGGTCCCCGCGACTCATGTCGGGCTGTCCTGCCTCCAACCGCTCGGAGCCCTCGGTCCAGTCCCGCTCAGACGGACGACTCTGTTTTTGCTTGCCCTTGCCCTTGCCCTTGCGGGTTGGTCTCTTTTCAGGCGGCTTCTGCTCTGGCAGCTCCAGCCCCGACGAGACACGCCATTTCTTGACTTCCTTGTGCAGGGCAGGCGGGAGTTTCCGCCGGACGATCTCGTGGAGTTTCGGGTCGTTGGCCCAGGCGTTGCGCAGAGCGTTGTGGTAGAGCAGGAAGCGCACGTGCAGGCAGTGGGTGGTGATGCGGATCTGGCGCTCGATCTTGGGGGGGGCCTTCTTGCCCTCGACGATGTCGGCCAGGTGGACTTCGTTCTTGTCGAGGGTCAATTCGAGGTCCTGGTGTTGGTGGTGGTGGTGGTGGTGGTGAGGAGCGAGGATCGAGGGTGTCAGTGGCGTGGCGGCCCCGGCGCTGGCGCTGGCGCTGGCGGTGCCGGACTCGAATGCATCCTCCCAGTCGACCTCCTCCTCGGACTCGCTGTCCTCGTCTGAATCTTCATTGGTGATACCTGGGTTTGGGGTGTCTTGTAATTCGTCAGGGACGTCGCTTAATGACGAGTCGCTAGAGGAGGAGTCGGCGTCGTCGTCGAGTGCGGCGGCGGCGGCGGCGACGGCGGGCGTCGCATTATGACGTTTGGGCGCGGGCGGATCCTCGTCGGAGACACGCTTGCGCGAGACGAAGGGGGGCATGCACGCAATTGATCGGGATTACTTGGGGGGATGGGTCGGAGGAGAGAAGGGTGTAGTGTATGAGTTGGATTGGAGTTGAATGGATGGTGGTTGTGTCGAGTTATGTTGTAGATGTAACGAAGGCGGAACAAAGAGTGACGAGCAGAAACGATGAGGAAATGATTTCCCCTCATCGGCTTTCCTCTTTCTCCACTTCTTCCCCAGACTGTTCTTATCTCACCTTCGCACCATCAGCCAGATTATCCCTCCAAGTATTTGAAACTTGATTTCAATCTGTACTGAAGACTCTGCCAACTACGGTCTATTCACAATGTCTGCTACGATGGAAGCCGTCAAAGTGTTCTTCAGCTCGCCGCGCTTCGCCGTGGCCGGCGCGAGCAACGACCCGGCCAAATTCGGCCATCGCAGTATGCTCGATCCTGCTCGATAAGAACCATATCTGACGCAGTTAGTTCTGGCGTGGTACTACCACCATTCACTCCCTGTTACGCCCCTCAACCCGCGCGCTTCCTCCATCCAGCTGCACTCGACAAGTCTACCGACGGTCGCCTCGGTGCGCGACTTGCCCGCTCCGACCGAGACGTCACTGTCGGTGGTGACTCCCCCGGCCGTGACTCTCGCTCTCCTTCGCGAAGCTTATGCGGTCGGCATCCCGGCTGTCTTCCTGCAACCTGGCACTTACGACCAGGCGGTGCTGGACTATCTGGAGGGACATTTTGCGGCGGCGGTGGTGGGCGCGGGAGGCCGAGGCTCGGAGGGTTGGTGTGTCTTGGTCGATGGCGAGGATGGCTTGCGCGCTGCGGGTAGAGAGTGGAAGAGTCAGCTGTAGTATTTACTGCCTCGATTTCTTGTAATGTGTTCAGTAAATGAGATATTAAACGGGAAGTCATGAAGAAAGTAGAAAAACAAGGTAAAGAGGAGGTTGGGGTGTAAACGGAAAGCATCAACACCAAATGGGGACAAATGAGGTATTGTATTGTTGGGGTGACTTTCTTTCACCTCCGTTACCCCGTTCTTTTTTCCTTCCTTTCTTCTTCCTCTTCCTCCTCACTTCCTCTCTCTTTCCCTTCTCCCCGTCAACTCCACCCATTTGCATCTGCATCGACATCACCAACCCCTTTTGTTTTGTTCTGTTTTGTTTTATCTCTCAGATTCAGTTTTCTATGATTCATCACGATCGGCACATCCTCTACAAGTGATTGCTGCACCAGAAGGATGCCCACCGGTTCGATCATTCTGGATTCGCCCATTCCTCCTCATCTCGATCTGGCCGGGGCGCCTTCGCAGCTCTTCCAAGTCCCTCCCTCGCCGTCAGCTTCATCGGCGCTGTATCGCTCTATCGCCGTCCCGCCTCGCAAGAGGGCTCGTCCCAACCTCGACCAACGCTCTTCTTGGCTGCAAATCGATGGCGCCTCTAGCCCTACTGTCCCGTCGCTGATCGGCCCCGACGACCTCCCGCACGGCGCCGATGGTATCGTCGACCTCGACTATCGACCCAGCCGGTATCGCGAGCCGGCCCATCCATTCCCTCTCGATGCCAGCATCGACTCTCTCAGCGAGGCCGGCGGTCTTCGTCGCAAACGCAGTCGGCGAGACCCTTCCCTGATCGCTGCCTCTCCCACCGGCCCGGATGAAAAGGGTATTCCTCCGAACGTCACACCGGACCCCTCCGATGCCGCACCCGTCCGCTGGAGCAAGGCTGTCCTGGGCGTGGTCGGAAAGGTGTGGGATTTCTGCTGGTCCGGAGCGTTTCGGGGGTTCTACGCCGGCGGCGGCCGCGGATACAACATGAGCAGCGAGGAAGATGCTCTCTCGCCCTCGTTCCCCTCCCCGGCCAGCGAGAAAGAATCCCTGCCGGCCACTCCCACCGCCCACCTCCGTCAGCGTCAGCGTCAGCGGGGACCATCCACCCCTCTCCCTGGCGAGTATCCCGACGAGGATGATCTACAGCGCAGCTGGGTGATGGTTTCAGCCGGCAAGTCGTCCAGCCCGTCGTCCTCGCCCGCCACCAATCGCAGCACCACTCCCCGGCGGGTTCCCCGCCGCACGACAACCGCCGCCCACCACGCCTCACGTCGGGGCCGCCCCCACAACAAGCGGGTGCTGACGTCGCATGCGCCGTCGCTGCCGAGTCAACCCTACTTCTCCTCGCCGGCCATGCCGCGAGAGAGTCCGGTGTCTGTGGACACGCAGCGTCATATGGCGGAGATGCGTCGCATGGAACGCGAGGGGAATGCCAGCATGCGGAGGATGGAGAAGAAGCTCGAGGCGCTGATCCGCGAGGGTACCCAGGCGCTGGCTACACGCGTGGAGGTAACCGACTTGGACATGGAAGATTAACGGCCCCTTCTTGGATGAACACAAACCGATACCCTTCCTTTTTTCTGTTGCTATTTGGACTCTTGTTTTTGGTTGTTATTCGACCTCGTCACGCTCTTTACGATTCGACACGACAGCGATGGAAATTCGGTTGATGATTGCATGATTAAAACGAGTGCTTTTTTTTGTTGACACCAGAGGTCAGGCTCGAAGCAAACTGATTCTCTGTGTGTATGAGACGGCCTACTTTTACAAGAACGATATTCTTATCTCACGAATAGTTCCCTAAAACAAACCTTACGAATGACATGTCTACTTAGATGCTCGCACTTCAGTTTTTGATACATTCATTGACTCATCCCCATCCGTGCCCATGCTCGGTACCCCTCTTCCTCAGACATCCCACCAACGATACACCCGATCAATGCTATCCATCAATCTATTGCCCCAATGCCGAGTTCAACGGCGAAGAAATCTGGATACTCTTCAACACCCCGTCCAGCCCCCCCATGCTCTGAATCATGCCGATCAGATCCGCCCCGTCCATGCGGGGAGCCTTGCTCGTGGACTAGAAGTGGTATAGGGTTGTGTTAGTGTCAGTATCCAGCATTTTCTAACGATGTATCTCCAGGGGCGACCTGGCGCTCGTAGATCAATCGCAGTGTTAGGGGTTGGGTGTTAGGGGGCATATAACGCACGGGAATCGGCATCGCCAGGCCCGTGGCGACGAGGACGGAGGCAACTACCGCGATAGAGAATTTCATTTTTTACTTGGGGGGCGGGAGGCTGGTGATGATTATTAGTTCTTGATTCCGGGGGTAGAGAAGATAAGGATGGTGTGGTGGTGGTGTTGGTGTACCTGTGAGAGGGGGTTGTTTGTCGGTAGGTTGCTCACGGGAAAGAGAGGGAGGAAACACGGGGGAAAGGCTACGAGGGCGATGTGGACTGTACATATGTACTCCGTACTGGGGCTGTGGATACTACGGTGCTGGTGCTGGTGCTGGTGCTGCTGGGTTTGGTATGTTTCGGAGTGTCGATCTTTGAAGGGTATCGCGTTGAAGGGCGTGTGCGGAGTACTCGTAGAAGAAAGGGATGGTGGTGGTGGTGGTGGTGGTGGAAGGGATGATATGGATGGGACGTGACGTGTCTTACATTCTTGAGGGGGGGAGAAACCCTTGGGGTTGGTGTTGTGCTTTGGGTTTTCTTTTTGAGGGGATTGGGGGTAGTTGGTTGATGAGGGTCTTGGGGTATTTGGGTTCTTTGTGTTGTATTTTGGATGATTGGGTTGATGTGTTTCTATGTCTCATGGGGGTGTTGTGCTGCTTGAGGTGGAAGGAGATGGGCCAGGGTTCAGCCAGCCAGACAGACAGGTCGGAATGCTGGCTTGCGAGGGTGGCATGTGGCTTGCTTTCATGCTGGAACAAGCTTTGCTTGGGTTGAGATTGATGATCATTGATAAGGGAGAGAGAAGTGCGAGTGTTGGTTGTTTTGCAGGAGCAGGGGCAGGGGCAGAGGCATGGGGAAGGTTGCGTGGTTGCTGCAATGCAATGCAGTGGAAGCAAACTTACATGTACAGTACTTGCTGTAGTGGACTGCAGGATGATTTATGATGAGGTCCGTGCTTTTCAGATCCACGAACGACTTCATCCTCGTCTCTCGGGTCTGGGGGGGTGGAGAGCGAAGGTTGGCTTCTACGGTTGGCTGATTTGGTCAAGAGTACAGTACTATGTGAACTATGAATTGTTTAGGCACGGTACACGCTGTACTTCCATTCCGCGACACTGACTTTGTTGATTTGGGAGATACAGAAACGAAAGGAAAGCTTGTCCCATGTCATGTCTCTTGATTGAAGAGCTGGGAAGTAAATTGTTCATTCTGTATTCGCAAGAAAAGGGGGGAAAACAACACCACCACCACTAGCACTTCCTGAAGTGACCTCCTCGACACGTGCCGAATATCCATCAGAACCACTACATTTCCAAACTCTCACCGCCTGCATACCAGAACACATACTAGCCATGGAAGACAACATCAACCCAAGTACAATCAAAGCCCAACATCTCAAGCTCCTCCCTTCTAAGCACCATCAAAAACTAAAAGGCTTCGGATGTTGACATTACTAAAACCACGCTGGCGCAACAACTCCCGGCCTCGGTGAACTGGGAACTCCGCCACAACCATAACGCTCACATCCTCAGCACGGATGCCGGCTTCGACCAAAAGGTCCAGCACCGCACAAAGTGTCCTCCCCGTAGCAAGCACATCGTCCACCACCACCACCGACGCGCCTTCGGGAATCAAACCCTGCTCTATCTCGAGCCGCTTCTCACTCGAGTCACAGGATGATTCTCTAGGCGCCATAGACGAGATATGCGAGGTTGATTTGGGGACAGAAACAGTCGGTTGGGGGAGCTTGCCACCTTCGCGGATCAGTGCCAAAGGTACGTCGACTTGCATGGCCAGCGCCGACCCATACACAAAGCTACCGGCTTCGCAACACGCTATCGCACCAACTTTCGCCCAGTCACCGGTGAAATGAGATTGCAGAAGGGATGTACACAACCCAATTCCACCCGGCTGCTGCGAAATGCCCAGCACATGGCGGAAGTCAATGGCCGGGCGTGGAAAGTCGTGTACCTTGCGGACCATGTTTGCCAGTCGCTGCAGGTTCTCGTCGACGAGGGGAAGCAGGTGTTGTTCGCCAAATTCTCTCACTGCTTCGTCTCCGGGAGTGTCATTCTCGAAAATGAGACTGGGGGGATATTCCAAGGCGGCTGAATTCGACGTG